TAGAAGAGACCCTTCCAGGCAAGAGTAGGAATACTTTACACCTGCCAGTACATTTCATCAGGCCTTGTGGTGACCATGCGAAGGAGGGACGGTGGCTAAGAAGCAAGCTCCTCACCTTGAGCAATGCCTCAAAAGTTGGAATAGCATGTTGTGCAGCTTTGCACAGCAGTCAGGCAGAGACAGTAAAGCGGAACTGCTCACTTAGTGGGAAAATAAATCTGAGTTGAATTGTCCACATTTATGTTTTGGCTGTGTTAGCAGAGCTAACCAACACCCATACAAAACCTCCTGAAAAAAGATCAAACTTTAGGTCTTGCATGTGACGTGGTCCCTCATGCTGCTGCCGGTATCAGAGCAGTGGCTCAGTGGCTCAGTGGCTGAGGTGAGTAGCTCGAGAGAGGTCGCCTTCACCACGGGAGCGGAGGGAAGCTCAGCGCCCAGCAGCCTCAACTCAGAGCGGAGAGAGCCACCGAGGGCGCCTCAAGCCCTCAACAGGACTTAACCGCTACCCCGGAGCCGGCAGCTCTGCTGACGCGAGCAGCTGACCCACAGGGGGCGGAGCCAGGAGGGGCGGCACCAGCCCTGACTGGGTAAAAACCTGCCCCAGGGGGCGCGAGCGACCAGGAGGGCGGGCAAACAGGGCCGGTCGCTGCAGTTCAGGCGGTCGGGATGGCGAGCACTCGCCTTGTGACCAGGCCCGGTCTGGGAGCTCTGCTTTGGCTGCGCCGGCGGTGGCCACCGTAGGCACCCAGACAGAGCCAATGAGAGGGGAGGCTGCAGCGCAGAGCTCGGAGTGTAGAGAGTGCGTGCAGTGGTCTTGTGAGGGGAAGGTGCGCAATGGGCAGGGCTGCACTCGGTGCTGCCTGGTGGAGGTCCTCCTGCAGCAAAGGCTGAGCTGCGGGAAGCTATTAATAGGCTACAAGATGTCAGGGAAGCTGAGAGGAAGCAGGAATGCTTGCTCCAGGCCCAAACTGTGCAGGGGCCTCAAGCGTCCACTGTAGCTTCTGGGGGAAAGAAAGAGGCCGTTAACCCAGGAATTTGGGAAATGGTAATACCAAAAAAAACCAAAAAACCCGAAGAAACAACAACAGCCAAACCCAACAGAAAAAGGAGGAAAAGGACAATTAAAAGCAAGGGGCTTCCTCCTGCTGTTCCCACCCAGAACCGCTTTGCTGTCCTGCCGGGGGCTGATGAGGAAGCGCACTCGCACCAGAAACAGCCGGCTGATGCACTGGTAAAGAAGATCTCGACTGGTGCTGCCAGGAAGAAGCGGCAGGTCATAGTAGTAGGGGACTCCGAAAGGAACAGAAGCGCTTGTCTGTTGGCCTGACCCAGTCTCAGGGGAGGTGTGTTGCCTCCCAGGGGCACAGATCAGGGATGCTGCAGAGAGGCTGCCTGCTCTAGTTAATTCCCACTGTTACCCACTTCTAGTGATCCATGTGGGTGCTAGTGATATAGATAGCAGTAGCCTGGAGAACATAAAGAAGAGATTCTGTGGAGAAGGACTTGGGGCTTGATGGGAAGCTCAACATGACTCTGTAGTGTGCACTTGCAGCCCAGAAAGCCAAATGTATCCTGGGGTGCATCAAAAGGAGTGTGACCAGCAGGTCGAAGGAGGTGATCCTGGCCCTCTACTCTGCTCTCATTGAGACCTCACTTGGAGTATTGTGTGCAGTTCTGGTGTCCTCAACATCAAAAGGACATGGAACTGTTGGAACAAGTCCAGAGAAGGGCCACAAGGATGATCAGGGGACTGGAGCACCTCCTGTATGAAGACATGTATGAAGGGCCTCCATGCACAGCCTCTTGGTCCTCCTATATTGTTGTCTTAACTCTAGACAAGACCCAAACCTGACTGTGCTTAACTTTTGAGATCAGACAAAATGGTCGTGGGTAAGACACACTCTGTGTGTGTGCCAACATGCTGATCCCCATCACAATCAGCAGGCAGGTCCCAAGGGTACCCAAAGGCCATTCAAAACCTTCAGAACTCTCAAACGATGCTGCTGTACTTGTCTCTGGGGCTGGTGTAGCTCCTGTGCTTGCCGGCTCTCTCACCACCAGCTTCTCTTTTCCTGAGTCCAGTTCTTTCTCCTCTGCCTTGCTGGGAAATGCTGCGGGGTCTCCTGCATCCTCCTGGGGCAGGCGGCTTCCGGGGAATGCTCTCGGCTGTCATGGGGCTGGGCTTGGGCACGGGGCCCGGCTCTTCCGCCACCTTCTCCCGCTGCTCGGCAGCTGCCTCTTTCCGCTCCTCGACCGCCCCAACCTCCTCCACTGGCAGCTGCTCCCTGCCGGCCTCTGGCCCCACTCCTGCCCCCGCTTGGTCCCCGGGGCTGCTCTCCCGGTCTGCTTCGGCTGCTGCCGGCCCCTGGGGCTGCTCCCCCTCGGCTCCCCGCAGCCTAATGAAGACGGATGCGAGGACGAGGGGCAGGATGGTGAAGAGCACCTGGACGGCCAGGTAGAAGTCCACAGCCAAGACTGTCCTCCCTGCTGCTGGAGCCCACCCACAGAGAAGGCTGCGTAGAGACCTCATAGCAGCCTTCGAGTATCTGAAGGGGGCCTACAAGGATACTAGAGAGGGACTCTTCACTAGGGACTGTAGTGATAGGACAAGGAGTAATGGGTTAAAACTTAAACAGGGGAAGTTTAGATTGGATATAAGGAGGAAGTTCTTTACTGTAAGGGTGGTGAGGCACTGGAATGGGTTGCCCAGGGAAGCTGTGAATGCTCCATCCCTGGCAGTGTTCAAGGCCAGGTTGGAGAGAGCCTTGGGTAACATGGTTTAGTGTGAGGTGTCCCTGCCCATGGCAGGGGGGTTGGAACTACATGATCTTAAGGTGCTTTCCAGCCCTAACTATTCTATGATTCTATGATTCTATGAATTCAGACATCGCTCTCACCTTGCTTGAGGCAGAGGGAGACCTTGAGTTGTGGCCGCTGCCCTCCCCACCTTTTCCCCTCTGCAGAACACACCTCAGCTGCAGTCCCCATGCATAAGAGCTGTCCCAAGGAGCAACTTTCTATACACCTCTGCCCGATGGCTGTGTTGACTCCAAGTGCCATATCCCCTTTGTTGTCCTAATGTTCCTACGTTCTCCGTGGGACAGCCAAGCAGAGTGCGATGTAGAAATCTTTGGCTGAGCACTGAGTGACCCTGTGTGTCCTCCCAGCATGACGCTAGGCTCATGGGTCTCTTGGCAGGGCTCTTCCTCTACAGTGCAACTTTGAACTGATGTGTTTATACGACCTCCAGTTTCAGTACTACCCCAATGGCAATCAGTCCTAGGATGTCTGCTTTGCATTGCACTGTATTTTCAACCCCATCCTGCTTCTTTGTAGCTGCTGCTTAAACTCAGGCTAATTGTAATCCCAAAACACTGCTGAAAACCCAGCTTTTAAGAGAGCTTCTGCACCCCCTTTTATCACTGCAGGGATGTCTTACTCCTAAGGTAATGCCTACCTAGATGGCTTTCAAAGATATAGCTCAAGAATCAAGAGATGACATGATGAGACACCGGGAGAGTCTGCCCTCAAATAGTATGGTTTCAGTCTTCCATGCTACTCCAAACTTTGCAGCAGTTGCTCTGGTTTTCAGTGCAGGGCTGTGATAGCAGACCTACTTCCCACACTGTCATCTCTGGCTAACACAGCTCCTGCAGATAACAACACATCAAGAGTCCCGGTCTCCCACGCAGCAGCCTTTACACCTTGATCCTCCCTTAGCACCCAGCAAAAGGGGAGATGGGCTTTGCAGCGTGATCGGAAGGTGAATATGTCTGGCCTCTGATGGCTCAAAGGAAAGGGGGAGGGGGGAATGAATGTATCCCTCGAACGAATGGCCTCCATGCACAGCCTCATTTGCAGCACTGTTATGGTTCTGAGTGTTCCTGTGCCAAAAAAAAAAAAAAAAAAAGGCTCCTTTGGTTATTGATATTTCTGCATGACATTTATTTTCTTTATACTGTTATGCAACCCTTCATCGACAGGTGTGGTCACAACATTTAGGGTCCCCACGCTAACAGGAGTGCAAGCCCAGTAGTTTTTATCCCTGTTAAATATCAGAGAGGGATGTGAAATGCTGTCTCTTTTTAAAGGACATCTGTTGAAATCTAGTTTCGTTGCTGCTAAAAATACGTATTTATTGTGTGGTTAGGAAAGAACTTGTTGGTCTGGCTTAGCAGCTGCTCAAAGTGATGTGTAAATGTGCTTTCAGCCTCAGGTACAAAGCACGGTCCCTGGGTCTTCGGTTTGACCGTGCAGAAGTCACTAGTGAAAGAGCTCCTGGCAAGTCTGGTGGACAGCTATGGCGTTTTCCTTCCCAGTGAGCTGTTTCAGCTACTGAAAAGGAGTTCCTGCTGTCAGGTGGATACTACAGTCGCCAGTATGCCCTCCTATGCAAGATAAACGCCTCCTGTGTAAGACAGGTGCAAACGCACTGGAAAAAGTCAGGCAGCAAAGCAGGCTTATCCAGACTCCGGACTGAGGCAAGTGGGTGGGTGAGGAAAACAGGAGTTCATGGCTTCAGGAGTAAAAAACAATACCCTCATCTGACATGTAAAGTGACCCTCCCGTGGAAACACAGATAAACAGAGAGTCCATGAGAGTCTCTACAGTGATAATGCTCTCATGAAGCAGCTGAGAAGGGCTCTCCTTGCTGTAGTTCATGCACCGTCCCAGACCAGGCTCTCCAGAGAATGGGAGTTCCCAGTTACTCACAGTTACCCCTAGAAGGGTTCCCAGTTGCCTCTGAGGGTTCCCAGTGGTTCACAGAATTGTTCTGGGTTGCCCTAAGGGGTTCCAAGATACCCCCAGCAGGGTTCTGTCTTACCCTCAGGGTTCCCAGTTACTCCCATTGCCCACAGGGTTTGTTTCTCCCAGGCATCCTGGGCCGTCCCTCTGAGGTTGCCATGGGCACCAGCAGTTCTCTCTCGTGAGGTCGTAAAGCTGCCCCTTAGAAAAGCGCCCCAAGCGGCAGAAGTGGGCAGCAGTGCGAAGCAGTGCTTTCAGCAGCTAGCAACGCGTAGGGAAGAGGCGCTAGGATCTCATGAGGAGAGAGGGCTTTTCCCTGTGCCTGGACAGTGTGCTCAGTCTGCAGAGATGCCAGACAGGTTGGGCAGCTGGGAGCAAGGGGGCCCAGGGAGCAGGGAGGGATCATGCCAGAAGCCTTGTGTGCTGCCTGGCTTCCCGGCGGCAGCAGCAGCAGCCCCAGAGCATGGGGTCTGTCTGCACCACTGCCCTGCAGCACAGCAACCCCATTCCGGGGACACAGCCCTGACCCTTCTCTGGGGAGAGCCAAGCAGGGCCAGGCTGTTGTCCCTGTGTCAGGCCCAGAGGTGTTTGTGTCCCAGACCTTCCCAACGACCTGCAGGTCTTGGGCCCTCAGGCTTGCAGCTGTGCTGGGCACACGTGGAACGTGGTAGCCCAGCGAGCTCCTAAATGGATCCCTGGCAAATAGGTGTCCCAACCCTGGGCTTTGGCAACAACAGTGTTCCCTCTCTTTTAGACAGCCTAAAACCTGCCAGAAGGACAGAAAGGGCCTGAGGCTCCTTTTCCTGCTGCTTCCCATCCTGTTAGGTGAGTATCCCTGACCAAAAATGGTTCCCTCAGTCCTGGAAAGAGGAACCGGCTCCTGAAGAAAATAATCATCTCTTGACAATGTGTCTCACAGCTCTTGGCTGCTCGCGTGGTGCAGTGATGTGGCTCAAGGATGTGTCGTGGGTAAGTGCCTCTTGCTGTGGGGAAGTCAGCATCTGCAAAGGCCATGGCTCTTCCCTCCTGCCTTCCCTGAGAACATGGGGTGCCTGGTCAGAAATGCCGATCACCACTGGGGCGGTGTTGGGGGGAGGCACCTGTGCTCATCCTCCGGTCTCCTTAGTGGCTTGATGGGGTTCAGCATGGGGCTCCTCCTCAGTGACCTCCACAGGGTGTCAGGCTGAAGAGGGGAGCGCTTTGCCAGAAGGTGCCTTTGCTGCTTGCATACCTCTTGGAGGGCTGTGGGGTTCAGATGGAGACCCAAAAGCTTCTCTGCTGAACGTGGCTGGTTAGGGAACCCAACCTTTGGGTCAGGGTTTCTCCAAAGTGACTCAAAGCAGCAGGGTGTTCTTCCAGCTCTACCTGGGGTAGTCTCCTTTGGGAAGCCCTGGCAGTGATCCTCATGCTGGTGCGGTACGTTAATTTTGCAGGAGATGTCCGGGCCTCATGGATCTGAGCAGGAACTACTGGGGTAAGAGAGCTTTCTTCCTAAGGGACACACTCTGTGGAGCTGTCTCAGCCGGCCTCGTGCTGCCTGCCCTTGCCTTGTGTCCAGGGATCTTGATCTTCCCTATCGGTGGTGGAAGGGAGCCATCTGTCAGCCGGAGGAAGAAATGGGGCTGGGGGATGTGGGGTGACCCAAGCTCATAGGACTCTTCTCTGCATGGCGTTTGGAGCCTGCCCACAGGGGCTGGCAGCTGCTGGTCAAGACCTGCTTTCCCTTGGCTTCCAGGAATTTAGAGGCCTCGGTGAAGCAGGAGTTGCAGGACTTCAAGCAGAAGGTGACTCAGGTGGCTTCTGCGAGTGGGAGGATACTGCAGATTGTGAGACAGGTCCTCAAAGACCGTGCTGTCCAAGAGGAGCAAATAGAGGTAAAGGTGCTGGGGTTGGATCACAGACCTCGCTCTCTTTCTGGGCACCCTCCTGTTGCTTCCTATCGGCACTCTCAAAGTCGTCACTTTTTTCGACAGCTCTTGCCTAGGGTTTTCTGACACAGAGATGCTCCTCGGCTCTGTGCCAGGACTCGCTGTTCGTGCAGAACTGCCCCATGTGTCTTTGTGTTCACTGCCATCTTGCCATTCCTACTTTTTCCCCAGGAAATTCTGCAGCTGGCAGAGGTGTCATTTAAGAAGGTGCTTCAGAACTATGTCGTGATGCCTGACTGGGCTCTGGAATCCATGGGTATGTAGACAGAAAGTACCCCTGCCATCCCTCTAGGTCTGGCACTGCCCCGAGCTCTGCTAAGCTCTGCTTTCAAGCCTGAGAAATACATGGTAATGCACTGCTGCTCCTCCTAACCTCTGGGCTGTCTTAGTCAACTTCTGTCCACCTTCATGTCAGGTGCCAGCATCGATGAGGAGAGGACATCCAAGACTTACGGTGGGCAAGGCATGATGACCTGGCTGCTTTCTCTATTCACCTTCTCATTTGCAAACCCCCCAGTGGCAATCTTGCAGGTATGACAAGGGAAGGCCTGAGCTGTGGTTCAGCTCTTTGCTTTCAGGTTGGCAGACCAAGCGCACAGCATTTACTGCTGATGGTCATGGCTTTCTGGTTTCAGCCCAGTATTATCCCTGGCGACTGCTGGCCTTTCCAGGGATCTCAGGGCCACGTGGTCATCCGGCTGCCTCAGTATATCCAGCCAACAGCTTTCACCGTCTGGCACATCTCCAAGGCAGTGTCCCCCTCTGGGGAAGTCGTCAGCGCCCCCAGAGAGTTTACTGTCTTGGTAAGTCTTTGCCTTGTGTTTCTCGGCGGGGGGGGGAGGGGGGCTGGCCCAAGAGAAAAGCCATACCTGAGATATGCTTCTTGTGGCAGCTCCTCTCAGCACCCCATCCCCTATGGGTATGTGGGGGTTCTGTGCCTCTGGGGGCTTCTTCTCTGCTTCATGCCCAGAGGTCCTGGAGCATGTGCTCAAAGCACCCTGACCCAGAATCACCCTGAGCTGTGCTAAACTACTGCTAGAGCCCAGGGAGGTGGGGAAGGGTTCCTGGGTTCAGCCTCAGCATGCCCTTTTCCTGGTGCCCTGCTGGAGCCTGACCCACTCCCTTTGTCTCTTGTCTTCGAGGGAGTGGATGAGGCAATGGCAGAAACTGTCTTGGGAACATTTACCTACGACGTGCACAAGGAGATCGCTCAGACGTTCTATGTGCAGGTACTGCAAAAGCTGTGGCAGAATGCCTGAGAAGAAGGCAGGGTTGTTTGCAAGTCCCTGGAGGAAAGAGTGCAGAATATCACCCCAGCCAGCCCCTGCTCTCCCATGCTCCTTGCTCCTGTGGGGAGGATGGCAAGAGGAGAGCAAACGGGGCTTTGCTATGCTGCCGGAGGCAGCTGCCCCACCTGAAGGGCTTTCCTTTTTCCTCAGGCAGCACAGAGAAAGCAGCAGGGGGAAGGGGACCAGGAAGGGAAACAGTCCCACTAGGGCAGATGGTGGGAGTGAGGACGGCAGACATCTTACCTTCAGTGGGACCCTCCTCACATCCCACAGCTGCCCAGGCAGCAGTGCTCCTCCGATTCCCAATGCTCTGCTCAGCAAGCCTCCAGGGCCTTTGCTTTCCAAGCACAGAGGGTTCCTCCATGGCCCTTGCAAGGGGACATGTGGTTGTCCTTGCTTCCTCCTTTCGTTAGGAGCTCCAGTGATGTGCTGTGGCTCTGGCCACCTGTGTAATGATGGCTCCCCTCATTTCTTTACAGAAAGAGCTTCCCGGGACCTTTTGTTACATCAAATTCCAGGTGCGGAGCAACTGGGGAAATCCAGAGTACACGTGTGTGTACCGAGTACAGGTTCATGGGATGCCGGCGAGGCACGACAACGCCTGAAGGCCCTAGAGCTACTTTAGGAAAGATAATAAAACAAGGACGTGTGCAGTTGGACTTGAGTGTGTTCCTTGCAAACACTCTCCCAACGATGCTTCCATAGCTTGCACCACTGGCGGGGAAGGGACCTTTCTCCCTTAGGAGAAAGATACTTATGGTCTGGGCTGCAAAGGACGGGACAGGGGAATGGGGCTTGAAGGAGAAGCCCCAGTGGTCCAGCTCCAGCTTCTGCAGCGCAGGGTCACTGGGAGAGCAGAATCAAAGTCCCGGGAAAGCTCTCCTGCTGGCACTGAGGAGGAGTGAAGCAGGCTTGTCTGCAAGGCTTGCCTGCCCTCCTTTCCTGAGCACTGCACAAAGGGCCTTGGGCCATCCTGGCTCACAGGTGCCCCATCTTCATTGGAGCTGCTTCGTGCAGGAGGGGGCTTCCCTCAGAGATGCTGAGCGAGGTGTCCCTGCCCATGGCAGGCGGGTTGGAACTTGATGATCTTAAGGTCCTTTCCAACCCTAACTATTCTATGATTCTGTGCTGCACTGGCTGGCCTCCTGCTGGCTCTGCAAGGTGATGAACAGGGGAGCCCTTCTTCAGGCAGGTCACACCAACGTGCAGTGCATGGCTGAGCAGAGGCCAGCAGCTTGAAGGGACTGAGGACACCCTCTCTGGCCATACACCCAGCTCCCTGTTATCTGGGCTCTGCCTCCTGTCTTGAAGTAAGGGCAGGGCTCTTCCCAGCAGCTGCCGAAGAAGGCAGCCTTTCCCTCCCTCCTTTCCAAGAGCTTGAATTCCTTGGTTATTGCCTCTCTGTTCACTGATCTCGTGAGACTACCCGGGACTACAACTCCCGAGCCACAAATTGTGGGGCGCCTCCTCGTAAAAGCTATAGTCCCAGGCAGCCACACAGAGATCACGTCGGGGTCACCAATTTGTTATAAAAATTCCCTCTTGGTCATGATCTGATTTCTGGCGAATCAGCAGTGGGTCTCCTATTACTCCCAGTTGCCCCCATAAGGCGTCTCACTAGCTTATGCACTATACGTACCTTTCTGGCTTATTCTGGGGAGGTGGTGTCAACTCTGGCTTTTGTCTGTATCCACATTTCACAGAGTAGCTCCATCTGCTGAAACACCAGCACATGCAGACACCAGTGACAGCCCTGTGCTTTGGAGGGACTCTTGCAGGGACATGCAGTTTTCCTTGTTTCCCAGCTATGCTTCAGGAGCACCCAGAGATCCAGTCCAGGGCGGTAACGTACAGACCCCATGAGAGTACTTTTCACCCCCTGCTCTTAATAAATCAAAACCCCAGAGTACAGAGAGTCAGGTACTGGCAAAGAGGCAATGCTGTTACTTATCCACAGTCATACATGGCGTAGTCATCTTGCTAGGTCAGTAGGGAGAGTTTTCACTTGATCTGAAGGTACTTTATTAATACTACTGCCTCGTAGAGCATATCATTTAGATTTCATATTGGAATAATCAGGTTGTAGAGTCTCACAAAACCCACCAAAATGCTTACAGACCTTTGCACTGAGGACCCGTTTGGGGTTTGACATATGTGCTGGGTCACACTCGGGATTCACACATTTTACCACGTATGCTGGATGCGCCAAACCTGTAAAGTCTTCTGGAATGGGTGGTGCTTTTAATTAACTTAACACTACAACTCTGTCCCCACAATGAACAGTTTTACTCAATCAAAAGGGCTACTGAGTAGCTTAGGCTACGTAGAGATAAATGTTGTAAATATTCCTCTGCTGAATAACCTCTGAGCAACTCCCTGCTCCATTTATATTGCTTTGAGGTCAGGCAGGAAGCATTGCTTTGGGCTGAAAATTAAGTTTTTTAAGATTTCTTCTAAGGTCTCTAATACTTATATTTTTAGAGATTTAAAACAGATTGCTATTGTCAGTTTTGCATTCTGAAGGGCACGAGTCTGTGTGGGAATGTCATTTGTGTTGTGATGTGGCTGGACCATGAACCTTGTAACACATAGTTTGTTCCACATTTCACTGACAGCTCTGATGCAATAGGAAAGTCAAAGGGCCAGACACACACTGTATGCAAACAGGAAAATAATTTCTGCTGGGATCTGTAAATAAATGGTAAATAGTTTCACACCTTTGCTGTAGCCTGCTGTCAGCAACAACAGGGTGCTGTAACAAGAACTGTACACAGAGCAAGGCTCCTCGATAAATTGTTTGCGAGTAGGAGATATCCAGGACTCTACCTGGCTGCTCCAAGACTGAAGTATGTCAGAGAGGAAAACTGGAATATGAGGAGCATTCACAAGAAACTCGTGTTCTCTAAGACTAAGCAGTGGTGTGACAAGCCTCACCAAAGAAATTATGAAGGGATAATGGAGATCTAAGCATGTTTAGGTTTATACCTTTTTATAAATTAAGTTAGTCACGCACATTTACCAAAAAGAGGGAAAATTAAACCAGAACCTGACTCAGGAAAATCTCAGTGCTTCACAGAATCATGGAATCATAGAATGGCTTGGGTTGGAAAGGACCTAAAGATCATCTAGTTCCAACCCCCCTGTCATGAGCAGGGACACCTCCCACTAACCATGTCCCCCAGGGCTCTGTCCAACCTGGCCTTGAACACCACCAGGGATGGAGCATTCACAACTTCCTTGGGCAACCTATTCCAGTGCTTCACCACCCTCACAGTAAGAACTTCTGACTTATATCTAGCCTAAACTTCCCCAGTGTAAGTTTAAATGCATTACCCCTTGTCCTATCACTACAGTCCGTAATGAAGAGTCCCTCTCCAGCATCCCTATAGACCCCCCTTCAGATACTGGAAGGCTGCTATGAGGTCTCCATGCAGCCTTCTCTTCTCCAGGCTGAACAGCCCCAACTTCCTCAGCCTATCTTCATATGGGAGGTGCTCCAGTCCCCTGATCATTCTCGTGGCCCTCCTCTGGACTTCTTCCAACAGTTGCATGTCCTTTTTATGTTGAGGACACCAGAACTGCACACAATACTCCAAGTGAGGTCTTATGAGAGCAGAGGAGCAGGATCACCTCCCTCGACCTGCTGGTCACGCTCCTTTTGACGCAGCCCAGGATACGATTGGCTTTCTGGGATGCAAGTGCACACTACTGAGTCATACTGAGCTTCTCATCAAGCCCCAAGTCCTTCTCTACAGGGCTGCTCTGAATCAGTTCTCCACCCAACCTTCATTGTTAGAGGTTCTTATCTTTGGATTTTGGGAAGGCTTTTACTGTTTATAGCGTTGTCTTGCCTTATGGACAGCCCTGCTCTAGTGACATTTGAGGAGGTACACAAGCCCTGAGGGTGCTCCTGCATCCCTAAATAAAAGAGGGCCAGGGATCAAACTTAGCATCAGCCCTCACCACCCAGGGAACAAGCCGGGGATGACTCCTGAGGACAGCGCACAGCCAGCTCCAGAGATGAACCAGTGGCAGGTAAGGTTCCCCCGAGCCCTCGCATACCATCCCAACTGGCATTGTGCCTTCAGCACCTGCAGTGCCTGCCCCACATCAGGGCATGCAACACCCCCTGTCCCCCAGACCTATGCTACAGAAACACCACTCTGGTGGGATTCAGGACAGTTCTTGGGTTATTAGGCAAAATTAACAGTTGTATCTTAGGGTCGGGGGGGGGGGTGGGGTGGGGCGCAAACAAGGCCCTGGAGAAACCCATGGCCAAGCACTTGATGGTGTGGTCACAGGTACGTTCTTGAGGGGAGGCTGTGGCTATTAGCATCCTGTATGTGAGCCAGGTAGTGCCCCTTGGCCTGGTGGGAGACAGAAATCTGCTTCATGCTTTTTAGTTTATTGGCATAGGCACAGCCTGCCTGCTCAGTGCTGGCTCTCACCTGTTCTTCTGTGCCTCTTCTGATCTCCCTGGGATGGCATCTCTTGTAAGGTGAAGTTATCTGTCCTCTGCTGCACAGGCAAGGGCAAACCTGGCTTCATTCCATGTGTCAGAGGGTTGAATCAGAAAGGAAAAGATTAAAGTTGCTCATACCAAAGTAAATCTGGCATTTCTTAATTTTGTAAGTGAAACACTGTTCTTCTGGTGTAAAGCAGAGTGTTACAAGTACAAGTTACAAGCAGAGTGTGCAAGCGCTGAGTATGAGACCAGATCCTACCACACAGCTTGACTAGGCCATTCTCTGTCTCTGACGAGTGAGTGCTGTTGCTTGAGTTGTTCTGAAACAGACAAAGGGAGCAAGAGAGAAATCAACAAGGGAGGATGCAAATAAGGAGTATGGGTCTCTGTTGGATTCCCCCAGACTCTGCAATGTTGGGGCTGTGTCTTCTGGTGCCCATACCTAGAAATGCACCTTTGATGCCTGCTGCTGCTTACCTGGTGATTTGGGGCCCAAATAATACTGACTAATCATTTTCCATGGAAACCATAGTTTGGGAAGGCAAAAGGGACCTACTGTACACTGCAGTCTTGCCCCACTGCAAGGTTCAGATGTAGCTGTGTATATGCCTGGGGAGATACAAGCTGGGGTATATGCTAGAATGTAGGTATGGGGGAAAGAAAGTCTGGTGTGGAAGGTGAAGCAGGAAGAATGGCAAGCTGTTGGTTCTGCTGACTATCTAGCTTTGTGGCACAGCAACGCCCAGCCTTAGACAAGTTCAGTGTTGCTGCTGGTCGCGAATGTTGGAGAATTGGCTTCAGTATAAAACAACACTAAAGGCAAACTGTCCCTTCCGCTTCCTTCCTTTACTGCTGTGTTAAAAGGTCAAGGACAAACGTTAAAGCACTGAAGAGTTTGCGGCAAGTGTTTCCTTTGCTCAGCTTCACCCCTTCAGTGTGTTTAGACCCCTTCATGTTAATCTGAACAATGCACCAGAAGATGCTGCAGTTTCTGTAACAGGAGAGCTGCTTTGAATTGGTTTGTGCAGAAGATTTCGGGTTTTGATTGAAACCAGCTAAATAAAAGCAAGTAATACAAATTAGTACGGGTTTTTTTTTTTGAATTCTGGCAAAAATGAGAGCAAAATCCTCAGTATTTTTTGGCTAAAGATGTTCTGGGTTTGGACAAAAGGCTGTTTGGTTTTGGCA